TTTGGAGGTCCCGTTTGCATACGGTGAGCACAAGATATGTCCGTAAATCATCGAAGAAACAGATACCATTTCCGTCGGTGAACAGTGACTGACGCGGGTCCGGACTCTTCGGCGGACGACGAAAACAAAGGTAAGTTCAACCATGCCTGAGAACTTATCGATAATGAATGCCAATTCACAGTCGAAGACGAAGCGGCGGATGCAGAAGAGCATTCTCATCCGGACGAAAAATCACCGACACCGTTCGTCGGAGACCCTGGTACGAGAAATATGCTACTCTGTGGCCAGTAACCTGACTCATTCGTGCGCGCTCAGAAATCTCTGGACCCGATTTGACTGCGGAGGGTGGAGCTGCTGAGCGCTCGGATGCACAGGAAGACTCGCAATCAGTCTCGTCTGGTTTCGATGTGGTTATGGGCATCCAGTTGGTGCTGATTTTGTTGGCCTGGCTGGTAGCCACGGTGTCCAACGGAGGTAAATTTTCTGTTCCCGTGCCGTCTTCGGGGAATCCACTCAAGAAAATTTGCAGTGCGCGAATAAATGAAGCAACTATAGTGTATACCAGAGCCATTTAGGCCACTCTGTCAGCTTTTCACTTCCCACCCTTCTTTTTCTCTCCTCTCTGCTTTCGATTACGGCACCGCTGTAAATTCACCAGTTACGATTCGTACGCTGATCCTCCTTGACAATGACACTTATTCTACGACGCTATGTTTTACAACGTGTGGTTAAGGCGACTAATTGAATGCCGGATTTATCTATTAGTATTTTACCGCGTAGGTTCAAACCCTGCTGGTGCCGTGAGCGTTGAACTTATCAGCCATTTGACATATAACTTGCGCCTTTTTTGACCTTTTGGGCTTGTGACAAGTTCACAAGGCCAAAAGTGAAAAACACCCCCTCTGAAATCACATTTCATGCCCAGATCAACACCTGAAAAATATTTTTTTTTCGAAGAAATTGACCTTGTTGAGATTTAGACACAGCTTTGTGAACTTGTGGCTTGTCGACCTTTTTGGACCTTTTTCGGCCTTTTTCGGCCTTGTACAAGGTCACAAGCTAATTGTCAAAAGTCTGTTGAAAGGCGTCCCTGTTGTGTTTGGTTGGGACACGTGCCGCTCAACCCGGCATTTATGTCGATTGCTCTACTGTGTTATTTGTTTGGAATATTCTCCTTGATGAGTTTTAATGCTAACATCGGAAGTGCATCGCAATGGGTCGCGCCGCGGCGCGCTGGCATTTCGAGGTTGCAGTTTGCGCGCTGCATCTCATCACCGCCGGTCGACTGAGAGACTTGGTGCCGTCAAGGTTCCCGGAAATTCACTCAAACAAATCTGGAATGCGAGAATAAAGCAAACAGTATACAGCTGATATGTACGCCAAAGCCTTGGAGACATTTGTACAGCAAACGAGGTATCCGCCGTAACGGCTAGTAATGTATACATGTAAAGGCCTTGCTTTCCTTATTACACCATTTCTTGACGCCTTGTTTTTCTCCTGTGTGCTTTTTATGAAGGGCCTTACTGGACAAAAGGGTTTTTTTTGTGTCGCAGGGGCTCAATTCATCGAGATCTTGCAATTTCTCGGAAGATCTCGCAAGATCTTCCGAGATCTTGCAAGATTTTGCAAGATGAACAAGATCTTGCAAGATTTGGGCTTTTTGCACGCCGTTTAAGCGAGATCTTGCGAGATCTCGCGTCGTGCAAGATCTCGGGAGATCTTGAAAGATGCTGCGAGCTGCATTGGCTTCGTTATTTTGCTCAATATCTTGCAATTTCTCCAGAGATCTCGATGAATATCCTCAATTTGGAGTTTTTGAACTCTTGCAAGATCTCGCAAGATCTCGAACGGTTCAATGCCGAGAGGGCCGGCTAGAGTTGAATCAGTTGTCAATGATGCATACTCCCGGCATCGGCACGCACGCTACAATGTGGTTGTATCCATTGCTCACCTAGATAGCTTGGACATATGTCAAGTTCCGCCTGTCCACTCCTGCCATCAGCCACAAAGAATCCACTTGAAATTGAGCAATTATGGACTGCTGTCCAGGCTTATGGCTTTGGCAAGGCTTTGAATTTTGAACCGGCTTTCCTGAAATCCTGGTAGCACAGTACTCTTCCAAGGCGTAGATTGTAGATCACTTAGCATCTCATGATCTGTGGGGAGAACTGCTTGCACTGTGCTGTCCTCCCTGGAAGTGCTGTTGAATCTGTGAAAAGGACCTGTGTACATTGCTTCAAACTTGTGGTCAGATACTCAGGATGTCGGAGCGGCGGCGGCGCCTTTCAGGATTGATGTTTCGCCTGAAAGAATGGTTGAATTCCGAGGAATCTTTGAAACCAAGCCGTGCCGAGATAATCAAACATCTCCGAGATCCCCGACATATGGTTGAAAGGGTTACTAGGGACTAAAGCAAGTGGAAATGAACGGAGTTATATCAATCAAAGTCTTCGGGAGGCTGGAAAGCCACCGGGCACACTGCCGTGCGCGTTACGTGCGCGCCGAGGATGTCGTTCATGCCCTCGGCCCATTTGCTCGCGGGCATCGAGGGGAGCGCGGTCATCTTTGGGTGTTCCTAATTGTCCCCGAGGCGTTTTTGAGGCAGATTCGACGAGCGGGATGGGGATCCATGTGAAATTTGGAGTTGGTCAAAGGTACGGCAAACGGGAGAGAAAGATCGGCAGCATTTCTTCAGGTCAAGAGAGGTGGGGAGTTGAGGAGCATCCGGCCAGAACATCGTCGCCTTTTGTACGGGCTGGCGGCGGAAGGCGAGCACTGAGAGATGAGCAGAGATTGGCTTGGTCATTGCTTGATCGGCAAACACCGGCCAGCCCACTCTGGCGTCCCCCTGGTTCACCATTCTCTTGAATCTCTTCCCCTCTTGAAAATCTTTCCCGTATCCCGACCCCCATGTACGACAATGAATCGGACGTGGTGCATGGCGCACACTCGCGGAGACTTCGGATGTCAAAATAATATTCTACCGTACTGCGAGAGATCTGGGTTCGATTCCCGGCGTCCGACTAGGCGTTTGGTAGCGCTCTTTTTCGTTGGCTTCACCCAACTGTTAAGTAGCTGCCAGGGGACTATTCAGTGTTGAGAGAGTTCAGGTAAGTAACTCGACCTTCCAGCTACTACCTACCTGATACCTCTGACATTCGAGATTTCGTCAAGTTGAGGCTCCGACCCTCTCCCTCCCAACCCGGCTCCCAGGCAGCAGAAAAACTCGAACGTGGTGCGTGGCGCACACCCGCTAATAGTAGCAATAGATCCTGGACATTGCGGTGCACGTAAAAAAGGACCGCTGCTTTTGATGTCATATTCAACGCTCCCCCTGACCCGGCATCTGTATTGGACAAGAGCTCGGACTTGGTGCGCGGCGCACACCAGCCTGAGCTATTCATTTGAATGCGAGAAAAAAAAACCTATGTTGCTGGAGGTCTGGGCTCGACTCCCGGCGTCTGAATGCACCCTTCCCCTCCATTTTTTTCCCAAAGGAGGCGGGATATTTTGACAGGTGTGTACTGCCTCTCGAGTCTCCGCTTTATCGTGAATAATGTTTAGATAATGAGTCTTCTCTTGCAGAACGAAAACCCTTTTGTTCTGGCCTCCGTCTCGCCCGCCTTCAAATTTGTCCTCGTAACCCCCGCACCAGGTGGGAGATTCACTCGGACACAGTGCACGGCGCACGCCCGCGCACAATCGATGTGCCATGTCTTGTATGCGAGAGACCGGGTTAAAATCCCGACGTTCGAATGCCAAACCCCCGCGACTCTTTTTTTTTCCATCTGCTTCCCCCGCTAACGCTTCGCAGAACAAAGTCACACTCGGCTCAAATGCATCCTCTGCTCTTCGCTTCTTACTCAGCGAAGTACTGTCAAGCTCGGTGCCACACAATCCAAAATTTGAGATTCCGTATCTGCGAGTGGGAAACGTGGTTAGACTCCCGGCATCCGAATGTGGAAACGAATCCTGTTTATACCTTTTTGCTTCTTCGTGCAGCACAGATGAAACAAGTTCCCAACCACACTGGATTGGTCTGCAAAGTCACTGCAAAGCGATATCGGTTGTCGTAAACGAAGGACGCGCGCTTAAATTCCAAACAAAGTTGAACCGCTGCATCCCAATGCGCACGAGAACCGCAGATCGGATGTGGTGTACAGCGCACACCCGTGTCGGCCGAGGCAATATACATCTGCGAGTGGGAAGCAAGGGTTCCACTCCCAGCATCCGAATGGGTTGTCCAGGTCGACATCAAGGGTTCTCTTTTTGGTCTCTCGACTACCTATTTTTATTGGTTTCCTGGAGTCAAAGAGCCAGATATGTAGGCTACTGCAGTACCCGCTCCTAAAGACGTATCGGATGTGGTGTACTAGTACGACGCACACCCCCTTGCGCTGCTCGCTCCAGATTAATAAGCGGGAACACTGGGTTCGACTCCCAGCATCAGTACGGATTCGCAACGGAGCCAGGGGTAAGATGAGGAAGAGCGGGAGGGGTAGCAAGGCTCTCGCTCTCCGCCCTCGCGGCGTACCCGCCGTCGAGCGAAGGGAGCGAGCCGGGGGGTGCCGCTACTGCCGAGGACGCGGCGCCTAAACTCGAATTCGCGCCCACGGGAGGCGTCGATAACTGCGTATTCGAGACGGGTGTCAATGACTACGCCGCCACACCTGCACCGAGACCGGGCACGGCGTGCGGACGCAAATGCGCGCCTTGCAACGAGGCGGTCATTACACAGTGTACGTTCTCGGAGGGCTGGGAGTGATTGGACGAGCGCGGGGAACGCCGTGGAGTTCGTAGAGAACAGGGAGGGCGACGCAGAGGAGCCCGAGTGCCCGGTATGTGCCACTGTGCCAATCAGCAAAATCTGAAGTTGCCATAAAGACCGCGAAAGACACGGATAGACACCATAGACTTGAAAGTAAACGGTGTCTGTGAGAGAAAGGTGGGAGGGGCGGTGTGGAGCCGAACAGAGTCTGAGTGTGTAAAATGGTAAAGAATGGCTGCTCCGGGACTCGAACCCGGGACCTTCCCATTACGCTTGGAATGCTCTGACCCGAAAGTCTATCCACTGAGCTAAGCGACCGTTCTTGGGGCTGATGAGACCAGCTGCACACTCCAGCTTGAGGTCACACCTCACAGCGGTTTGAAACCCATAGACCCCCATAGTGCTGGTCATGTCTATCATAGACACAAAGACCAGATAGACCATATAGTCGTCATAATTTTGAATATCCCGGAAGAAACCAATTGAAGTTTCGAAGGAATAGAAATATATTTGGCGACACTAAGTACGACGATAAATAAGGCATGCACCAAGTACCGAAAATCGACCAGTGTCCAATCGCCGCAGATGGGCGGGGTAGAAAGACTCGTGATTTGCAACAGCATTTGGATGTGATACTTGAATTCGGACGGGTCTTGGACAAGATTTGAGGGCAGACTTTGCGGATGGCACGAGACGTCGAGGCAAGCAATTTGCGGAGGGAGGGAACCAATGGGCGTCCAATGACAGGCCATGAGTTGAGGTACGGGTTGCAGGCTGGCAGCAGCGATGGATTTGGAAGATTGGGGGGAAGCCGACGGAGAGAACGTGATGGTCAAAGGTGTGGCAATCTTGGACTTGACCAGCCCTACAGAGATATGAGACTTGGAAGATATGGCTTCGGATGTTGGAAGGGTCTTGCACGTTGGAATAGACGTTGGAACAGTGTTACGAGCTTGCGTGCCGAGTGCTTGCAGACGCGAGTGCCGGCTTCAGACGGAGCCCTGGAAAGAGGTGGAGAGGCTAACACAGAGGTAAGTTGAAGATGCTGAAGTTTGCGGGACACTGAGGCGGAAACAGAGGGTGGATGCGCAGGAGAGCGAAGGGGGGGGGAAGGAAGAGAGACGTCGACGTGGCAGATCAATGCTTGGCGCTGTTGTGGACAGGCGGAGTGCTCGGAACCGATAGCCGGTCGGCAATCTTTTTGACGCTGATCCATGTTTCCCCGCAGATTCCGTCGTCCGAGTCTCTCGAATACGTGGTAGTACCGTTGCTACCGTTGCGACCCTTGGAAGCTCCAAGCATTAAGTTATCCATGCCAAGGTGGGTTTGTTTCATTCCCTGTCCAGGTTTTCGTCATTCTGGAAAAGGAATTTACCCTACATACACCGGCTCGAAGATCTTGTTGGCAAAGTGTAAGGGCAACCTCAAGGCCCGAGAGTACTCAAGAGTCCTAGCGAGGGGAATCCGAAGATGAATAAACAGTAGCTACAGACATTGAGTAACGCACCTAGCGAGGGGAATCCGAAGAGAAGAAACTCTGAGGATTCCCACGCTAGGCCGTGAGTATAATAGTCTACTGGACAGGTGCACGGGACCGGAGTGATCGGGAACGGATGCCGAGGTCACGCGCATGATTGCATGCCGAATGCCAGCCAGCATCGGCACGTTCCGGTTGACCGGAGGGTTCCGGTTGACCGGGACGACCGGAGCGACCGGAAGGGCGGGGCCAACGACCGGAGGGGGCGTGCGAAAGGGGGGTTCCCCTGACACAAAGGTTCAAACCCAGGATCATGTTGAAAGCACCTCCTACTCACCGTGGTATAGGGAAACATTTTTATACTGCATGAGAAATCATCTCATAAACTCGAGTCTGAGAGAACAACCACCAGATCCATAGACCACCAGAGACTTTCAGAGACACCCATAGTAGGCCTCTGACTTTCATAGACCCACAAAGACCCGGGAAGACCCACAAAGTAAGCCCAGAACTATATAGTATTTCAGATTTTCCTGATCAGTGGACACTCGACAGAACAGGCTGCGGATCGGGCTTGAGGTGCGCCGGAAACCCCCCAGGCACAGGAGGCCCAGGAGTAGTGACCGGCGCTCGCGTAACGTGCGCGCTGAGCATGTCCGTCATGCCTTCCGCCCATTCGCTCGCGGGCGTCGAGGGGAGCGTGGTGGAGGCGATGGGCGGGGACCATGTTCGTGACGGAGGACGTGGAGGTCATTTGTAGTCAATTTAGTCGTCTCTGAGGTGCTTTTAAGGGATATTCGAGGGGTACGTGTACTGCGTATTATGCGAATGCAGGGAGATTTCAAGCAGACTTTGGCAAGACTGTGGCAGTCAAAGGTACGTCAAAAGCGAAAGAAAAGCCGGCAGATTGTTGTCAACTTGTCAGGTTAAAGCAGGTGGGCAGTTGAGGAGCATTCGGTCAGAAGATCACTGGCTTTCATACGGGCGCGCGGCGGAGTGTGAGCGGACATGAACGATGACGTCGGGAAAGCGGGACAAGATAAACAATTGCAATCATCCCGGGCAACCTCCCGCCCTCTCTTGCTCTCGACTTCCGTGGTCAATCCACGGTTTATGCGTGCTGTCTACCTCCTGGGTTCTTTCACTTTTCTTGTTGCATCCTCTACTTTCGGAAATCTAGCTGGGGGCTTGCACTCGCCCATTCTTCGTGGATCTGAACAGCTTTCAGCACGCCCGAACCGAGTCAACTTGTGTAGAGCTCCTACATTTTCAAGCACATCTTTGTTGACAGCAACCCCGCCCTCTCTAGTGGGCCTACATTGATTATATACTCTTTCCACCCTATCTTTTCACAATAGAACTAGCACGGGGTGCCAGCGGCAATCAGTCGGCATAGACCGGATCATGGGTTGGATCAGAATCTGTTATCGGATCGGCAAGAACAATCCCAACAGAGATCTTGCGAGATCGCGAAAGATGTCCAGAAATTTTGTCCAGAGCAGACACTTTTGAGACGCGCGACATTGTTTGAGAACTTGGAGTGGTGGGTTGAGATCTCCAAAGATCTTTGTTAAAAATGAACAGGTCTCTCAATCAAAAGATGCGACTTCTCGCAAGATCTCGCGAGATCTCGCAAAATCTTGCAAGATCTTGCAAGATTTCAGACTTTCTGCGAGATCTCGCAAGATTTCGCAAGATCTTGTGTTTTCTTGCAAGATCTCGCGCAAAAGCACCCCTGTCAGGGGAACCCCCCTTTCGCACGCCTCCTCCGGTCGTTGGCCCCGCCCTTCCGGTCGCTCCGGTCGTCCCGGTCGACCGGAACCCTCCGGTCAACCGGAATCGTGCCGATGCCGGCTGGCATTCGGCATGCGATCATGCGCGTGACCTCGGCATCCGTTCCCGATCACTCCGGTCCCGTGCACCTGTCCAGTAGACTATTATACTCACGGCCTAGCGTGGGAATCCTCAGAGTTTCTTCTCTTCGGATTCCCCTCGCTAGGTGCGTTACTCAATGTCTGTAGCTACTGTTTATTCATCTTCGGATTCCCCTCGCTAGGACTCTTGAGTACTCTCGGGCCTTGAGGTTGCCCTTACAGCAGAAGAAACTCTCTACAGGATTAACCGGCCAAGATTGCGAAGTTTGGACTTGAAGGCTCGGACGAGTACGTCAGTGCCCCTGCCTCTCCCACTTCAAATCTTGCCCCCTCCTCCCCTGTCCCTGCTCTCGACGCCGACATGTCGACGCTGCGCTGCACAGCGAGCCGATGTCCGCTATCGAGGGTACACTCGAGCGCCTCACCAGGTTGATTGAAAATTCCACCACCCAACGCGCTGTTTCGCCTGCCCCGTCCCTTGCCGCTTCGGCTCCGGACCCGGGTCCACGGCTTTTCGAAAACGTCACCCCCGGAACGAAAACGGTCCTCCGACCGAACCCCCCGTTCGTCTTCGACGGCGACCGGACCAAGGGCCGGGCGTTCCTGCACGCTGTCCGGTCCTACGCCCGGCTTGTACCGGAAGCGTTCACTGAGGCCGGAGAGCCCTCGGAGGAGAAGGTCGTCAGGTACGCCATGTCCTTTATGGCCACCGACACGGCACAGCGCTGGGCCGAGCGCTACGCCGCCAAGAGCCCCTTCCCGTTTCCGACCTGGGACTTGTTCCTGGTCGAGTTCCGACAGCGCTTCGTCCAGGAGAACGAGCAGGACCACGCCCTGATCAAGCTCGAGTCCCGCGCCTACCACATGGGCAACCGGGACGTCTTCCGGTACACCGACGACTTCGAAGACCTCGTCGACCTCGCCGGCTTCAGCGACCCCATCGTCAAGGTCACGAAGTACCGCACCGGACTCGACCCGGCGATTAACCTCGCCATAACCGGGTCGAGCGACCCTCCCCCGCTCACGGACTATGTCGCGTGGCGCGTCCGGGCCTACCGGCAGTACGAGTCCCAGCTCCGGGCTCGCAACGTCCCTTCCGGTCGCTCTGCGGCGCCATCCGGTCGCACCACCTTCCCAACCGGGAGGCCTCTGGCGCCCTCCGGTCCCGGTTCCAGTCGCGCCCCGGTTCCGGCTGCCGCACCGCAGGTGCGCACCCCCGCTCCGGCTCTCCCTCCTGGCATTCCGATGGAGGTCGACCGCGCCAGAGCCCGGGCTGTCTCCCGCCGTGCCTGCTTCCGCTGCGGCGACCCCAACCATCTCGCCCGGGACTGCACGACTCCGGTCGACGTCCGGTCGATCGACGTCCTCGACGAGGTGATCCAGCAGCTTGGCGGAGATCTGCTGGAGGAGTTGTTGGCGCGCCTTGCGTCGACCGAGGCTGTAGCCGAGCATGCTGCAGCCACCGCCGCCGCCGTCGTCCCGGAGGATTTTCCCCTCCGCGACGAGTGAGCAGTGCGCCCTCGGTCGCGTCCCCTAACCGTTTCGATGTCCTATGTAATGAGTCCGACAATATATCTCATGCCTTGGCCGAAACGGAAGACGCACCCCCAGACCCTCACGACACTCCGGTCGTTCCGGTCCGACCTGAACCGGCTCCGGTTCCGGTCAAACCCGATCTCCCCTGGGATCGCCTCCGCCGCAAGCCGATGTGGGAGCGCAAGCTTCCTAAGCACTTCACCATCGCGGCAGACGCCTCCCCAAACTCTCTCTTCCTTCCGGTCGAGATTGAGTCCACTGATGACGCAGTGAAGCTCTCCGTGTCCGGACTCCTGGATTGTGGGGCAACCAGTGAGTTCATCGACACCGAGTACGTCGCGGCCAACCGCATTCCGGTCCGCAAGCTCTCGCGGCCCATTCCGGTTTACAATGTCGACGGCTCTCCCAATGAAGCCGGAGGCATCCGGGAA